TTGACCATAGTTTTAAGATTCAGATTGCCTATCATCCATGACTGGAAAAAAAAAAAAAGAGATAAAAGTAAGCCTTGATGTGCAGCCGCTATCCCACAACTAGAAGTAACCACAGGTCTCTAGCAAGATCCTGCTGGCATGGAAGCATCTGAAACTCAGTAAAAGCCCTACCTGCAATACACATACAAACTGACCGTAAGATTCTCCACCAGGCTGTAAAAGCATCCTGCAGAGAAGAGTAGCGCATGGAGCAATGTGAATCTAAGTTATACCATTGCTCACTGTCCTGATAGCAAAAAAGCCAACACATGGAGAAATTATAAACTTGCAGCCCCAACAACCAAGATATGAGGGAATAAACTGATGGCTGAAATAGAGTTATAAACGAAGCATTGTAATGTGGTGATAGAATTACACAACCAGATGTTGACTCTTCACAAAATATGAGGGGGAAAAAACATATTTTCAACTTAAAAACCACATGACATACATGTGGAGCTCCATTTCTCATTTAGTCTAGATGAAGCATATTTAGATTCACAAACTATTTATTTATCTTTATGTTTACCATGTAATATCAAACCTGAAATTACCAGAAAGTAATTATCATTTACACCCAAAATGTAGTTTAAACGCACTAAATTAATTTAAAGTCATATTGGCATAATCACTTATACTAAATAGGATTTGTACATCGAATATGCATCTGAGAATCGTTAATGATCTGTTCTGGAAGCCTTTTCAGCCAATGAGGCCATAGACAGTATCTAAATTACTTGGCATTTATAATGGACCTAGTTTGTAATTTAAGAATATTATTCCTGCCTGAGAAGTAATTTAAGACAATACATAAGTGACAGCATAACCTCAAAATGCCAAATAAATCTTATATGCAATTATTTCAGAAGATACACATTTTAAGATTTATTTCTAATATCACTAATATCACTATTAACAATAATTGTGAGTTCTGATCCCAGCTCTGCTGACTACTCTTTGCTTTGAGCCAATCATTTCATCTGCATCTCCATTTCCTCTACCTTAAAAATGAAGATACTCCCATATGCTCCACTAAAGTATTATACAAACGATTGTATAAAAATGCAAAAGAAACGTAAAATTATGGGAGTTTTTAAAAAATGAAAATCTATATGCACTAATGAAGTGCAAGTGCTTTAGAAAATAACAACACTGGAATATACAAGTTTAGTCAGAGAGTACTTTAACTTATATTAGCTCTAAAATGCAAATACTATACCAGCACATATATGCAAAAAGAAACTAAACAAGCACAGCGTTATACATTATTAAGTATTTGTGTACCAGTTTCCTTTTCCCAACTTTTGAGAACTGCAAATTTAGCTCAGCCCCTTTCCCCCGTCTATATTATTTGCCTATTAGTGTTTTAGGGGTGGTTTTTTTTAATTCCAAATATAAGGGGAAAAACCTCCATATGTTTTGTGTGAGACTGTGGGCTGTGGTTATTTTTATGACTACTTAAGGCTACCTACCCTGTTAAGATCCTCTATTTCAGAATTGAAGTTTGTTTCTCCTTCCATCATTTCCTCCTCTTCTAATGTCCGTTCATCATCAAAGTCATGCACCAGCATATCAGCTGATGGATCAAATTCATGGTCATCAGATGTTGCTGAACCTCCTGATAGAAAACATTTTAAAGAATGTTTTTAGTTAGATCATGGCCTCACAGAGTTTAATTTTTTATTTTGGTGACATTTTAATACTCAAATTATACTCAGAAATTAAAATACCTTCAAAATCCCTCAATCATTTATCTTAGGGAAAGCCAATCTCATTATTCAGAGTACTGTGAAAGCTGTCCTTTGGGTAGTAAGAGATCATGGAAAAAAGAACCAGGAGATACTGTTTAACCAGCCAGTTCTCAAAGTACTATATATCTGGACATCGGGACCCTAGTTAAATGTTTGTAAAATGCTCAGTTTTTGAAGACTGAATTCTTAAATAATCGTAAACCTGTCTGAATCAAGCATTCTACTGGGAGCAGAAATACTCATAAAATATAAACTCAGGGCAGTTTTTTCCTTTATACTTTGAAAGCTTTCTTGTTTACAACTACAAAGACAGTCTAATGACTTTTCCAAAATTTAAACTTAAAGTAAGCTTCAGTTATGCAGATTTATTTATGATGCAGAATCCTTAGTTATTTTTCCCCACACAGTTTTTTCACAGTTCTTTGTAAAGAAGTCTGGTTATATTTTATGACAATGAAAAATAAATGAATGGATGAATGGTTTGGCAGATGCAGCATTTTATGTAATTCAGCAATACCTGATTTCTAATTCTAACCCTGCTAACATTTTTCCATTTGTCTCTGTGGACAATCTAAATTCCGTTTTCCAAAGCTTGAAGAGTGTACCCACGCTAAGGGTGCAAGAGGGAGGGGTTGACTGTAAGTGCTAACTATACTTTGTAGTTTTAAGCGTTAAAGCAATTGATTGTTTCTCTGAAAGAAGTAAGAGCTCAAGAGACAATGGCAGTCCAGCTAAAGTAACTACTGGAAAGCTTTTCCACTAGTAGGATGCCAAAAACCTTGGAAATAAATAACACTAAGTACTGTGGTACCAAAGTGAACAAAAAACCCCCAGATATTCATAATTTAGACTTAGGCTGATTACTAGATAGCCAGTAGCTCTGGGATACTGGAATATTAGAAAATAACTAGCTTTAAAAATAGAAGTCATGAAACCCCTCATTTTTAGTAATCCAATGAGGTAAAAAAATACTGCTTTTCCTGCTGCTTTTGTTCTTGATGCTATTATGCATAAAAACATAGAGCAACGGTATATCTATTAATTGAGAGCACATAGTGCCTTAACTTTTGACTTTGTATTTAACTCTAACTCCAACAGGTAGCCATGCCTAGCGGGACGGTAATTGTATCGCGGTGTAAAGTGATCTCTTCCATGTCCCCAGCACTCGCTCACATTGTGCTCCTTAGGACATCAGCATTCCTGAACACGTGTTCGTGCAGCTCTTGCAAAGACAAGAATCGTATTTCCCCAGTGTATTTTACCATTTAGAAACTTGTGCTGGTACAGACTGGAAGAAAGCAGTGACTACTTAAACCAGTACCGCCACCAATCTATTCATCAAATTATATCCTTAGATTACTAAGGATATTTGCTGGAAGAGACCAGCAAAAATAATTTTTCAAGGGTGCCCTCTTCCCTCAGAAGTTTAGGAAATATTAAAAATATTTACCTGGGCTTGAAGACTCAACAGAAGGCTAAAAAAGAAAACACAGGAAATTATTTTTTCTATGTTGAACCTGCACAAACACAATTCAGTAATTCAACTGATACAAAGCAAGTCACTGCAAATAATATATTTACAAATAAAGCACCACAAACGCTGAAGCAATTTAAGGTAAATAGTATTCATTTTCTCCTTTATGTATCAATATTGCTGCTCTATTTCAGCAAGAATAATTGGAAGAACTGCCCATTTTGTGATGCAATAATTGAGTTGATGAAGGTATAAAATAAAGCAAAACAATTCATTCTGAAAATAGTATTACAATTCCACAATCAGCTTAGTATGGCATAAATCAGTGCTATTGCCAGATGGGGCAATGCTACTTTCTCTCCATCACTACCTGTTCATTTCCAATTCTTCCTTCATGCTGACACAAAACTGAAAACTAACAGCAGTAATAGGTTAGTTTTTAACAGATCCAGCTCTGATCTAACTCCGTATACTAAATCCCCTTTTCCACAACCAAGGTATATGCCAGATTACATTGGCAGTGGAAGCACAGTTTAAGAGAAATTATTCTTCCTATTTGAAACTGCATGATATGCAATACACAAATTCCCTGTTCTATTTAAATTAAGGTACACACTTTTAAAAGGTAACCACAAACCACAATGAGAACTCCTCATAGAACAAAAGGAAAAAGCAATTTAATGTTAACATCTAATCCAGCTGTGAGGAAAAAAGAAAAAAACAGCAAAAATTATTTTGCAAGGCAGACTTTCTTCCCAAGTACGTTTGTAACACAAATTAATATGATCACAGCCTACAAAACAAATATATTTTTTGAAATACAGAAAAAAAAAAGAGATGTCCGCAACAATCTTTATGTAACAGGGACATCCTTTGGCCTGCCATATTTGGTAACCTTACATTTATAATCAGAACATACGTCTTCTTTCATAAAATTCTGCTTTCCCTTGCTTATAACTTTGTCAATCTTTAACCTCCTAGGATGAAATTTGCATGTCAGACATGCAAACCTCATTTGTTTTGAAAATTCAAGCAAATGTTTCAACTATTTTCAGGAACAGACCTAATGAAGTGTTTTTTTCAAAGTTAGGAAGACTGACTTCTTACTTCAGAGAGCTGCAGTACCCCTTTCCCTGGCACCTTCTGGAAACAGAGATACTGTTTGGTATCATGGATATTGTTATATTACATAATATAAAATGCTGTCTTCATGAAAAACTGCCTGCATTTGGCCAAGAAATAATATGGAAAACTTCAGTTTGCACATTCACAATAGATACTTGTGTGTATGCATAATACTATACCTAGATTGTACTCCTACTAGAGTTGCAAAATCTGTACACCCAGAATTATACGCAAAATCAAAACAAGATATTATGTTAGAAATTGGTAAATTTAAACTCACGTAAAAACTTGTACTATTATTCCAAGATTTTCTAAAGCATTTTCCTTCTCCTTTTCTTCATCTCATAAGGCCAAGCAGTCACTTGCACAAGCCACTTCCACCCAAAATATCTGGCCTAGCTATGTAGCGAAGCAAAAACTAAAATTTAAAAAATTCTGTGTAATTATAAAGTTCTTTTCATCAGCAGCTCTTCAAAGTGAGAAGAAATACACCTTCTTAGGAATCAATGACCACAATCCACTTACATGTCTGCTTACGTTTTATGAGAGTCTACAATGTACAAATAAAAACTCAAAATATATTTGCCTGTGTCAAGCAGAAAGCAGTATACAGAGGTAAAAACACATCTTGAATATTTGCCTGAAGGGTGGATAGAAGATACAACAGACAAGAAGTTTTGCTCTCCTAACACTGTATAGCCTAATGAAAATATCGAATATATACACTGTCTTCAGGTGGAGATACTAGTGTCTATTTTTCTCATGCTTACTATTTAGTTATGTGTGGTATCACTGCTGACTTGCAAGAAATAGCTTTTTAGGCAGTATTAGCTTTAAAAGGCAGTACTGCACAAAAAAGCCAAGAGAAATCATATCTGTACAATTAAGTAAACTGAAACTCATGTTAAGCGGGTAAGCACTAAAAACATTTTTGCAAAATGCTGCACAATGCCATAGGAAGTTTCGCTAATGACGACAGTTTAAAAATCTTTCTTTGCAAAGATTATCTTAAAAAATTCCAGTGTACAATATTATTAGCACATACTGAGCTAAAGTTGAATATCAAAATCAGCCAGCAATGACTGATCTCTATTTGGTATGTTTTGTTTGTCTGATAAACTTGCAAAACTGGGTAATGCATAATAGGTAATACACAATTATTAGTGCAAATTAACAAAGTCTTAGCGTATTCATTGCAGCAATCACAGGTGGGAAATCAAACAAATTCAATTCTATTTCTGGCAGACAATGCTGAGAGTAAGGCAGACAATAACGGCATGTTCAGTGCAAGGAAAAAATAAGGGAAAGACAAACATCACTCAGAAGTATCTTGGAAAGTTTTAAAATAAGGACTAAGTCTTCCTTAATAATTCTCTCATAACAAATATGAAAGAAATGAGCACTGCAAATGCAGATTATAGCCACCATTAGCAGCAAGAGGAACCTTTATCTCCCAAAGAGGCCATAACAGAAACGTAACTAAAGCTGAACTGCACAATCTAGGAAAAGCAAAAGAGCAATGGTAAGCAATTCACCCGGGCAGCACAGAGACACTGCTGTGCAGTCTGTGGGTTGTGCAGCCTTCCCACCCTCGTTACATGGCAGCCTCTGCCAGGCTATGAAGTACTCTGCAAATACATCCAGCCTCAACCGAGACCAGGAAGCAAGCTGTGGACCCTCATGCAAGGGTCCCTGGAATTCCAGGGTCCCCTTTTAACAAAGTATTGACCTAACAGAGTAGTATCAGTACACTTGGCAGAAGGATAGTATCAGTATACTTTGCATCCAAATAATGACTCATCGTTACAACACAGACTGCTCTCACCAAAATCAAGTGACTCGAATACCGAGTTGCTCTGAGATGGAAAGAGGAAAGCAGAACCAGGGCTGGTAAAGATAAGAAGGGAAAAAGTATCCCCATGACTTATGATGAAAGATTATTCCAGAAATTACTGCCCTCATAGGAACAGAGAACTGGATTTAATGTCCTAGAAAGCCCTGAAGATAATCTATTCTGAGGGATAAAACATGTTACTTAGTAAACAATAAATTCTGCAAATGCCATCTTAAAACTGTTCTTTCTGCCCAACCATGAAAACGCATTATTATTGGAAGGCTTCTACACAAGCCAGCTCTCCCGCTGACAAAAAAAACCTCTTTCCAAGATACAATCTGCACTTACTCATGGCCGGTTTCTCTCTAACCCAGTACTAACACTATTGTTAAGGCTAAATAACCACTCTCCGCCTCCCCAGTTATTTTTTGATGTAACAGAGGCATTTCAAGGGGGGTCACCGTTGGAAAACAGTTTATGCATATAGATCAGTAGTTGCTCATCTCGGCTTTGCAGTGGAAATCCACTGGGGAATTCTGGCTGGCCCACGCATGGGGCGGGTGGAGCCCCTCCTTGGCCATTCACCTGCTTTACCCCAGCCCAACCTGGGAAGGAAAGTTCTGGGCAAAGGCCTCAAGTCAGAAGGAAAGGAATGAAGAAAAACAAGTGTATAAACCAGGGATAACAGGAGCATCAGGAAGCCGTGCCTCCAAAACTGAAGAAATCAGGATGATCAGTGAGAAGAGGCTCATGGTACAATTATACTTGTGTCCAGAAAAATAACTGCAATTCAAAACACAAGAGAACTTGTGGAAAAGCAAAAATGCTTTCTTTACAACACCAGATAGGGCAGGGGTTCTGAGGGAAAGGTAGCATTCACTTTACCGTGAATTAAGGATAGCATGAGTTCAATCAAACAGAATCTAGCATGGTGTAACGGCAGCAGCTCTGCCCTCACGAGAAAAAAAACCCAACCCCCAAAGTACAGCTTTGCTTTCAGCCAGTGTTAGGGATTTGCCAACAGCCAGAATGACCTGTAGGAGGCCTGTTGGTCCACGAGCCTTGTGTAAAGGGGAACCACCAACTCCCCACCTCAATTTGGAAGAGCAGGTTTCCTATGCTGAAATCCTCAACAAGCAGAACAGGGTCCGCTCTAACCTCTGCCCTGAAGCCATCCTCCGGATCCATATATACCTTGTATGGTTTTACATACGCGTGCACGTGCACAGATTTTTATGTGATTTATATACAAATGTTGGAGCCTGTTGTTTCAGTCCCACTTGGAAGTTTCTTTACAAGTTTTCAGGATGGAAAAGACATAATTCCCCTCTTCAAGGATGAGCATCCAGAGAACTCCAGGCTGGACAGCCTCACCCCCACCCCCAGGCAGGTGATGGAGCAAACCCTCCTGGAAACCATTTCCCAGCCCACGAAGGAGGACAAGGAGGCAATGGGAGCAGTCAGTGTGGATTTACAAAAGGGAAATCATGCCTGAGCAGCCCGAGAGCCTCCCTTGATGAGAGGATAGGCATGGTGGATGAGGGGAACGCAGGGGATGCTGCTTGACTTCACTCCAGCAAGGCTTTTCACGCCATCTCCTGTAACACCCTCGCAGACAAAATGATGAAGCACAGCCTGGACAAGCAGGGATGCAGATGAAACTTGCTGCATAGCCCAGCTCAGAGGGTTGTGATAAGCAGCAAAGTCCAGCTGGATGTCAGTGACAGAGCCCAGGGGTTGAGGCTGGGGCTATTACTGTCCAGCATCTTCATTAGGGACCTGGACAACGGGACAAAGCGCACCCTCAGCACGTTTGCAGCCAACACAACATTGGGAGGAGTAGTGGATGAGTGCGCTGCCAGTCAGAGGGACCTCAACAGGCTGCAGAAACAGGCCAGCAGAAACCTCATGAAGTTCAACACAGAAAGGCAAAGTCCTTCACGTGTGGAGGAATCATCTCCTACTACAGGCACCAGTACAGGCTGGGTTCCAACCAGCTGGAAAGTAGCTTTGTAGAGAATGATCTGGAGGTCCTGGTAGACACT